GGGCGGGACGGGGTGGGTTTAAGGTTATGTCGGGCAGGCGGGACGGGTTAAAGGTTGTGCGGGACGGGTTAAAGGTTGTGTCATGTGTGGATGGTTAAAGTGAGTTTTTTTAAAACTAATGCGGGGTGGAGCAGGTTGTACGAGCGGGTTGAAGTGGATTTTTTAAAAACTAATGCAGAGCAAGTTGCGAGTATGTGATTTTATGCGGGTTCAAATTTAATTTTAACTTTCTACATGTTATAAGAATGATAGATCATTATTTTTTAAGATAATTTCTTTAAAGCTACCATATATTTTTAGATCATTTATTTGTGAATGAATAATTCAAAGGAATTAGCTTTGCAAAGTGGGAAAGACACAAGGACGCTGCCTATGGAGGATTTTTCTGGTCAAGGACAAAGCTTTCAGTCTCAACCTAAACTTTATTTTATGTTTTTTTTTTAAGTATTTTTTATGTGTCTTAAAGTGTCCAAATAGCTTAGTGAGATTTGGACTTAAAAGAATTATATTCCCTCAATTTTAATTTATTTGTTCAGTTTATCATTTGATATATTAAAGATAATGAGATTAAAGAATAATTTAATATAATTTAAATTTAAATTTTCAAGATTCAAAAAATATTATATTTTTAATATTATATTAAAAATTTGATAAACAAATTAAATTGGAGAGTATAACAAAATTAAAGATATCAAAGATAGATCTTTTCTCACCAACCCAACCCTCTCCTCTCCTCGGGTTTCCACAGCATCGCCACCGTGGTCCATGGCCAACCACAACTTTCGATTTTGGCAAAAAAATATACTATTCCTTCCGTCTCATGTGGCACTTTTCGAATTTTGAGATTCAAACAAATCTATTTTTTATCGTAAGTTTTTCATAGATCTTTTAAACATTTTGAATTTTCAATTATTGTGACTTATAGTACTTTTTACGTAGTTTACAAATATATAAATTTCATTTCAAAAAAATTGAAGATTTTATGCACAAATTTTCAATTAAACTTAAATTGTTTGACTCTCGAAAAACGAAAAGTGTCACATAAATTGGGGTAGAGAAAGTAATAAAATAAGATATTCTTAAGACGAAAGATTATATTAAATATTCATGTGTAATTATCGTATAATTTTTATTTCTCACTCAATATTTATTTATTTTAATGTCAAATTAATATGAATTCATATAGAAAATATTATTATAGAGATATTTACCATCTAAGAATTTTTAATAATTATATATTACTACTCTAATACCTATAAGGAATTATAGGGACGGTTTGTTCCAACCAAATTATAAGAGAGAGATATATTATAAATATGTAAGGATTTAAAATATTTTTGAACTATGCAAGATGTTCTTAGTTAATAATTTAGTTAAAGAATATATTTATCGTTACTTAATTAATAGGACATAAATATCATTTCCCTTATATATATATATATATATCATTTATTTCTAATTTAAACGCTTACCTTGTGATCAGTACTCAACTTTTAAGTGATAAAAGTAGTTTAAAAAATAATATACACTTATACAAGTCAAGACTTCTATTATAAAAGTCTTCCTTTACAACTAAGTATTTTATTGTAATGATTTAAAAAAAAAAAAAAAGGCAACCGATTTTTTAACGTTTTACATTATATTATATGGCTCTTTGTAAGGTTGTAATCAAGGACTAAGAGTCCGATTGGATTGATTTAAAAAAAATAGATTTTAAATAAAAAATAATAAGTTTTACTTTTAAATTAAAAAATATAAAGTATGGAGAGGCTTACTTTTGTTTTGATTTATTTTAAGTCATTTTAAATTTATTTTAAGCTATTTTTTACTTTGTCAAACACTTCTTAACTTATTTTAAGTCAATTTTACTTATTTCAAGTCATTTTTATATTTGTCAAACATTTTTAAAAATCAAAAATCAATTTTTAAGCTACTCCAAACACCCTTTTAAGACCTTTATAGTCTAGTCTATTCGGTCCTTTATTAGTGATGTTAGGGGGAAAAAGACTTGGTCAAAAACAATATTTACTATAGCAAATTAGCAAATTAGGGGGAAAAATATTTGAGCAAACGATATCATTAGAAAGAGATTAGACTCCAATGACATACTAAAAGGGGTTAAATTGTAAAATACTATATAGTATGTTTTTATATAATCAGTGTTTATCTCTTCATCTTTTTAACAAAAAGTGAGAATTATGAGCGAATAATTAATTACCGGATTAGCAAAACCAACCCCACAGCCAAGAAGAATCCTTCCAATAATAAGCATAGCCAAATTCTGAGCAGCAGCATTTAGTACAACTCCGATGGTGAAAAAACAACCGGCGATTAACATCGTTAATCTCCGACCAAGTTTTCTTGTCGTGTAAGAAGCAAAAAATGTCGCCGTTAATCCGGCTAAATATAAAGATGAAGTAAATAATTGTAGGCCTTGATTATCGTATTTGCAGTAATTACTGTCTAAACCTTTTTCCTTTGTTCTCTTGTAAACCGTTGGGAAGAATTTTTGTAAAAATGGATCCATTGATGTAACACCACCTGTATTTTCCAACAAAAAAAAAAAACAGCATTCTATATTATTATTTGTACTATTCATTTTTTTAATTTTAAATCACTTACTAAAAGTCCTGATTCTTACACTGACACCTTGGATGGTTTGTTATATTGTATTGTATTATAGTTTAAATATAATATTTGTTTTTATTGTTATTTAAATTTTTATTGTATTTTATTATTTAAATTTATTGAGACTTATTTTGTGTAACGATTGATTTAATGTGATCGCGTCTTTACCTTAATATTTTCTTCTCGTTTTGTCATTTACCCTATAGCTTCTTGTAGGTTTATTATCCGACATTATGTAACGAGTTATTCAAATATTGTAATAACAATAGAGTATGATATAATACAATATGATACATTATGAAACAATATATAACAAAGTCACGTAAACAGCAGAGTGTTTTATACTCTAACTAGATTCAAAAACAAAGGAGGGAAGAACTTTAAGAATTATAGGAAGACAAATAAAGAAATGCTAAAAAGTGTTAAGATTTTGCAACGTCATGATCATCATCATTAATATAAAGGTAACAACTAAAAATAGGTTTATTACAAGGAAGAAAAAATTGAAAAGGGATCATAATAAAAATATAATTTAATTACCAGAAACTCCAATATCATAACCAAACATAAGTCCTCCAGTAGCAGCCATAATACAAGAAATGATAAGAATTGGTGTGATTTTAGCCTCGAATTCCGTGCCCCCGTCGCGGCCGGTGATCGAAAGTCCTCCACCAGCCATCGTGTAGCTAAATTTCCGGCTTCAAATGAAGTAGTTAATACTAACTAAGAAGAAGATGGTTTAATTATTTATATAATGAAAGAGGATTGATATTAATTGTGATGGAAATTATGGGGAAAACAGGAAGGAGGAAGATTAACAAGCCACCAGAATCTTTACACGTAGATTATATGTGAGTTGACAAACTTAGGCTGTGTACTAGTCAACTCATATGTATGTTAGTGATATTTTGTGCACTCCTATTTCTTCTATAAAAAAAAAAAAAGTTGTGCTACGTTTGTCATTGAGTCCGGAATCTAAATAAGCCACAAAAAGATAAAAGTGATTAAAATAAGTCACTATTCTAGTAAGTAACTGAAATAGGCTTAGTGGAAGAAAATTTTTTGTTTTATGCCATATTTCAAACGTTTTCCGTTAGTCTCATAACGTGTATATTTTAATATATAACAAAACTATTTTTTATACCTTGTAACTTACACTTTGTAAAGTGAAAGTTTTTCATACACTTTATAAAGTGGAAGAAAAAATTATGTGTAAAACAGAAATATTTTTCACGTTTTGCATTAAATTGTATCTCTTTATGAAGCTTTATAGTGTTTGTCATACAATTATATTGATTTGGCATATCATAAAAACGAAAAAAAAACATTACATTATGTATTTTTATTTTTTTATTCTGAAAACTCCTCCAAGCTCTATTTAAGGACGTTCAAACCACTACAAGAAAAGTGTGGATTATTTAGCGATTTTCCTACGGATTGTATACGAAAATTCGTAGGAAACTTAGTTTCCTGCGGATTTTCCTACCAAAAATAATCCGATGGTAAAACCTTCCTAGGTAATTATTTCCTGTGAATTTCAAAATTCCGCAAGTAATTTACCTAGGAATTTATATTTCGCATGTAAATTACTTGCGGATTTTCTTGCAAAAAATAATATAGGTAATTTGGATTGGGATTAAGGGTTAACCATTTAATATGGGTAGATCAGGTACTTCAATCTTCAGTCAAGAACTTTTTCAAATATCACCTTGATTGTGTATGTTCAACATTTTCTCTCTCAATCGATCTAGTCATACCTCCTTTGTAATTGATAATGTTAACTCGTGATATTCTAAATAATGACAAACTAAACTCATATCGCAGGGAATCAAGGAACGAGATCTAGATAATAATATGGATCAACAGCCTCACCCAAGGAGGAAGATGGATTCAGTATGGATAATGATCAGCAACTTCACCCAAAAAGGAAAATGGATTCTGGATATTGATACAAATCAGCAGCTTCAACCAATTAGAGATGGATTGATTCAATCAAATCAATTTAAAAGATTGACTCAATCAGATGACAATCCAACTAGGACCATATCAATTTGGTGAAGTCAAAAAGGGAAACAGGCAAAAGTCAAGCAATCAAGATGACAAGAAGATCAAAGGAAAATCACACTATGATCACGAAAGATCAAGCTGTGATTCCAAGCAGCAAACCCATATTCACACCAGACTCTGTTTCAAGGTAGAGAAAACACCGCTGCAACCTAATCAAGGAAAAGTCATACTCAATCAAGGAAACGTTACAAATCCTTGATTAAAGGAAACTCCCTTGACTTTTCCATTAGAGCAAAAATCATTGCACTACTCAACATATAAATAAGGACCCGGATCAACAGCTGAAAGTGCGCAACTTCACTTGAACTTACGATGTAATCTTTTTTCATCTTTTATAAAGCTTTGTACACTTTGAGTGAACTATTGAAAAAAGAAAAAGAGAAGGAAAGATACTGAGAGTAGGTTATACAAGTAGAGGTCGTGTCAAGATATAGAAACTCTGATTTGAATATCATATTGGATTCAAGGTCAAACTCACAATATAACAATAGTTCTCTTCAAGCTCTAAAGGAAACCCTTGAGACCCAAGGGGATTGGAAGTAGGTACCACGTCGGTGTTTCGAACTAGTATAAAATATCTTGTGTTAATTTACATTCGGCTCTTACTCTTATTTTATACTGTAATTGTTGAAGTGTGTGACTATCTCATCTAAATGTTTAAGTTGTTATATAGAGCACACTTTTATTATTTAATTATATTCTCAACACGCCCCTCACGTGCGGGGTTGATTTGTTTTCATGGGCAAGCACGTGGACATTCTTTTTAATTTTGGGTGGCGGTGAGATTCGATCTCAGGACATTTGTCTGCTCTGATACCATGTTAAATTGGTGAAACAGAGTTTCGATCTTATTCTTAATGAAAGAGCAAGGCGCTCTTTTATAGATACAAAGTACAGGAACAACCGATGTGGTTAACTCCTACAAGGACATAAATTTTATACCTAGAAGAGTCATATACGATACAAACTGTATACTAGATCTTTTCAATTCAAAATTCAAACTAATGCATATCTATAACTAACTACCAATACACTATTACGCCCCCTCAAGTTGGAGCATGAAGGCCCCGAATGCCCAACTTGGCAATTAATATTTGAAAATGGTGCATGCGCACCTAAAGCTTTAGTAAAAACATCAGCAAGTTGATGTTATGTTGAAATGTGATGACAAACCAACAAACCCCGTTGAATACAATCCCGAACTAAATGACAGTTCACCTCAATGTGCTTAGTCCGTTTATGATAAACTGGATTGTTAGCAATATGACGTGCGGCTTGACTAACACAATATAAAGAAATGGGATCCAAACGAGGGACATATAAGTCTAAAAGTAATTGGCGTATCCAAATGATCTCACAAGCAGTTGTCGCCATTGAACGGTTTTTTACTTCAGCAGAAGAACGTGACACTATTACATGTTTCTTACTCTTTCATGAAATAGGTGAATGATCAAGAAATATAATATACCTACTGGTTGAACGACGGGTGAGTGGACAACTTGCTCAATGTGAATCACAAAATCCTTTTATAGATAAAGGACTTGATATTGAAAGGAAAATACCGTGGCCTGGTGCAAGCTTTAAATTACGCAATATTCGGAAGGCAGCTAACCAATGATTTTGTTGAGGCTGGTACATGAATTGAGACAACAAGTGAATTGAATAACAAATATCATGCCTAGTAACGGATAGATAAATCAGCCTCCCAACTAATCTGCGAAAGGGCTCAGGATTCTGCAGAGAAGAACTTTGCTAAATGGTGATGTTGCTCCATGGGAAATTTCACTGGTTTAGATGTCATCATGCCCGTTTCTTTTAAAATATCCAGCGTGTATTTTCGCTGTGAAAGTACTATTCCTTCTGAACTGCGAGCAACTTCTAGACTAAGAAAATACTTTAGAGGACCCAAATCTTTTATAGAAAACCAGGATGCTAAGTAGCTCTTCAAAGCTTTCAAATTGAATGAATCATTGGTGGCAACGATCACATCATCTATATATACAAGAATGGCTGCAAAAGAATTTCCTCGTCGATAAAAAAATAAAGAAGTATCAGCCTTGGATTGTGTAAAGCCAAACCTTAAAACAACATTAGAAAACTTAGCAAACCACCGCCTTGAGGCCTGCTTTAATCCATAAAGTGTCCGTCGAAGGCGACAAACTCTATTATCTTCGGCTGACAAATATCCAGGTGATGGTTGCATGTAAACTTCTTCATGTGAATCTCCATGAATAAAAGCACTATCCACATCCAATTGATGGAGATTCCAATTTCGCACAGTTGCAACAGCTAAAAGGGTACGAACTATAGTGAGTTTGGCAACTGGAGCAAACGTTTCATTATAATCAAAATTTTCTACTTTGTTGTAGCCTTTAGCGACAAGGTGCGCCTTATATCGCTCAATTGATTTATTAGAATTAAACTTAATTTTGTAGACCCATTTACCACCAATAGCAAAATCTACTGGGAGATGTTCTAAGGTTTTGTTCAAGTACTTCCAGCTCTTTTCTCATGGCCTGCTTCCAGTGCTCCACCTGTACTGCTTGTTTGTAAGATGTTGGCTTATTATGGTGGGTAATGGCCGAAAGAAAACATATATGAGCTGTGGAAAAATTGGAGTAGGAAACATAATGACATAAAGGATAAGTTGGATCAATACCTGTGCAAGATGTGATGGATGAGCCTGAAGAAGAACCTTTATTATTGTTTGGAAGATTGACTAGAAAATCTTTAAGATGAGTTGGTTGGGTTTCGATGCGTTGAGGTCGAGTTGGAACAGTGGGTGTTCTTGATGGTTTAATAATCTAATCTTGTGATTGTTGGAGATTTATATATGGTGTCACTTGGAGCTAAGGTTGGCAATTGGACAGGACCGGTTTTACCGAAATCGGTCCTCGTTATCAGATTTAGTTATCGGAACCGGGTCTTAACGAAAATTTCCAAATGTTCCGTCTGGTCCCTTAGTTACCGGATAGGAACCGGTTTGGACCAGACCGAAACCGGTTCTTACCAGATCATTGTGTATCGGTAATTTTTTTTATTTTATTAACTTTAATTATTATATAATATTATATTATTAATTAATAAAATTATATTATTAAAAAACTTCAATTTAAAACTTTAAACTGTAAAGTTACTTTAAAGTTTCAGTTGAATTTAAGTTTAAACTTTAAACTTTAAAGTTTAAATTTTAAAGTTTATATTGAATTTAAAGTTTAAAATTGACTTTAAAGTTTAAAGTTTAAAGTTTATATTGAATTTAAAGTTTAAAATTGACTTTAAAGTTTAAAGTTTAAAGTTTATATTGAATTTAAAGTTTAAAATTGACTTTAAAGTTTAAAGTTTAAAGTTTATATTGAATTTAAAGTTTAAAATTGACTTTAAAGTTTAAAGTTTAAAGTTTATATTGAATTTAAAGTTTAAAATTGACTTTAAAGTTTAAAGTTTAAAGTTTATATTGAATTTAAAGTTTAAAATTGACTTTAAAGTTTAAAGTTTATATTGAATTTAAAGTTTAAACCTTAAAATTCAATTTTATATTAAAGTTTAAACTAATATTAAAATAGTTGAAAATTAAATTTCTAAAATGACTTGGATTAAATATAAGAGACTATTTTAAAAGAAAATCAAGGCGAATAGCCGTATATTTATTCAAATAAATAAATTGTACAATACAAATATTAGAAAGAGACAAAGAGTACAT